CAGTATGGAAGCTACAGGGCCAGAGAGCGCACAGTAGAGCACACGTCTGAACTCCAGTCACGCCGCAACATCTCGTATCCCCGGTAAAAAAAAAAAAAAAAAAATAGCCAACAGAAACTCAGATAAACTTGGCGAATAAAATTCTTGTTTTTAAAGTAGACTGCTGGGGCTGGCCAGATAGCTCAGCAGATTAAAGCGCCTGCTTAGGCAGACAAAGGGACCGGGTTTGATCCCGTGTGCCATGCTGGGTCCTGCCCCCAGAGCACGCTGAGCTGGTAACTGAGGCTGGGTGTGGTGGCGCACCCCCATAATCCCAGCACTTGGGAGGCTGAAAACAGGAGGGTCAATACAAGTCTGGTCTTTGTAGGGAGACCCTGTAACTGAATAGATTAAAAATAAATTAAAGCAGGCTGCCTCTTAAAACTTCATAGAAATGAGCTCCGCTGATGCTAGTGCAGAGGACCTGGTGATGCTAGGTAACAAGAAAACCTGAAGTAGGAAATTTCAGAGAGAAATGACACCCTTAAACGTACAGGTCTGATCTTCTGATTCCTACCGAGGGCTTCTAAGTTTCCCAAATCTAGTGAAAGGAAACTTCTTCATATATTGCTTTGCCACAGTCAAAGACTGGGACTCTTCCCCGTGTCTGTCAACCTAATCAGCTAGGACCAGAGCAGTTCTTCCCTTGTCAGGAGTGGGGATGGAGCCGGGGTGCCGTTCCTGCTGGATAAACGCGCCTATCACCAAGCTGCTGCCTCAGCCTGGCCTCCAACTTGGGATTTCCAGCCTCGGCCTCTGGGTAGCTGGGACCACAGGCGAGCAAGCAGGCATGGCTAGCTCAAACAGGACTTTTCTTTCAGAGCTTAATATAGTAAAGTGCTTATAAAATTCAAGGCAAAGGCCAAGGGCCAAGAACAGCTGAGGTAGACCACAGGCAGGTGACAGGGCAGGTTACTGCAGAGCTCAGAGAGGCCACAGGCGGCGTCCCCCAGGACAGCCTCTGGTGCTGAAGCTCTGCTCTGCCCCTCCACATCTGAGAGTCCCAGGCACGGTAAACAGTAAGAAAAGGAAAACTTGAGACTTGAAGAAAACCCAGAAAATTACCCTTGCAACCTTGATGCAGGGACAAGCCCAGAAAAGATGTCTCCACACTGCTCTAAAATTTAATCTGCAGCTGGGGAGATAGTTCAGTGGTCTAAATGTCTGCCTGGCAAGCACCAAGGACCCGGGTTCAGTCCTCTGTACCACATGCTGTGCTGGCCCTGTGCCAAGCCAGCCACTGAGACCTGGGCATGGTGGTGCACACCTATAATCCCAGTGCTGGGGAGGCTGAGACAGGAGGATCACTAGAATCCGAGCTGCGCTGCATAGCAAGAACCTGTACGAGATAAACAAAAGACTGAATAAAGAAAAAAAAAATTAACCTCATCTACTGCTGTGCATTGCCTCTGAGTGCATATGTGTGTACCCCAAGAGTAGGCATCCCAGATACTTTGAAGAGAGTTCTTGTAACAGAAGTACAGACAGACCACAGAACAAATGCCCAAGCAGCCATGGGCAGGCGACAACATGGTGTCACTGAATTTCCTGACCACCGCACCCTTACAGTGCAGCAGCCATGTGTGCTGAAATGAATGCGAGGCGACTGCAGCCACTGAGGAGGGCTGGCTGTGGCAGGGACACGTGGTGCCAAGCTGTGGGCTAAGCTGTGTGCCCGCCACTCCCCAAAGGACCTCTGCAGATGTCCTAAAGAACGGAGGCAGAGCACACCTCAGCGCCCAAGTGAGACCCGGCAGTGCCAGCTGCCACAGGAGCCACGGTCCACAAGTGAGCTGCAGCACAGAGGGAGCTGCAAGTGTGGCCGCACTCCCAGAGCAGCCTTTCAGGGGAGTCCCACGTCCAGGCTGGCACGAGCTTGGGGATAGAGTACTTCAGGTGCAGCCTGGACAGCTAGACCTTTATCTGGACATCCTGTGGACAGGCCACACAGCTATGCGCCTTACTGAACTTCAACGTCCTCAGGCTGGGTACGCAGGTCAGTGGCAGGCTGCTTGGGACAGGCCCCAGCCCCAGCCACTCCCTAGTGAGAAGTGCCTGGGGCTTCAGCAGGTGGACCCACAGAGCCTGAGAGCCAGTCACTTTCAAGGGGTTGTACCTAGCTGTGCCCCGGGAAGTTGCAGCTCCACAACTCAGAACAGCTCCAGGTTGGCAAGAGTCCCCCATAGGCACTGGCAGGCAGCGGCTCCCTCTCATGCCCACTGCCCACTCAGGCACTGGGGGCAGCAGCTCCCTCTCACACCTACTCTCCACACTCACTGCGTACCTTCTATGTGTTCCTGGTAAGCTTCAAGAATTGCCTCGAGCCCTTGCCACCTGCACCTGGGTACTTCCTCTTCCTCCTCGCCATCTTCCTCTTCCTCCTCCTCCTCCTCCTCACCGTCTTCTGAGCCCGGGTCCATCTCCTGTGTGTGGGATCCCTTCCTTCCCACTAGGGGCTCCTGCTGCCCATTATGCTGGGGCAGGGGGACCCGGCTGGACGACTGCAACTCAGGAATGTTGTAGTGGACAGATGTGTCGACCTTGTGGTTCTGCTCTGCAGACAGCGCAGCTGCACCCCCTAGGGAAGAGAACAAGGCTGTCCAAAGGGGCCCTGCGCTGCCCTGCGTGCAGACCCTGCAGAGCTGCAGGGGTCCAGGCAGGCCGGGCACAGACGGCACCCATGCCTGAGGTGGAAGGGCTTGGGGTTGAGCAGGTACAGTTCCACTCGGCAGAGGCACATGTGTGATCCCAGCCAAGCCCACCTGTGGGCTGGAATCTTTGTGGCTTGGGTGTGGGCAACATGAGCGCCAAGGCCATGCAGTCCCCCTTTGCATGAGAAATGCTAGGGTGTTTCAGCCCTGAGCCTGCACAGCTTGGCTGTGACCTGTCTCGACAGCCTGCTCTGGCTGATGCCTCAGTCCTGCTGGTAGCTGCGCCCTGTAGAGACGCCACACCGATGCAGCTCTGTAGTAGTGCTAACTCAAGAAGAAGACCCAACTCACAGTAGCCAAGCTCGTGCCTGGAAACGACACCTAGCCAGGCAGTAGCACGTACTCTCATCCCAGCATCCTGGGAGGCTGAGGTTAGAGGACTGCGAGTCAAAAGCCAGCTTCAGCCCTGTCTCCAAAAATAGGAGCTAGGAATGCAGCACAAAGGCCCTGGGGATTCCATTCCCCAGTACTGCATAAACAGAGAAAATGATTTCTTTTCATTAATCTTAGTGTAATGGTTTGGAATAATACGATTTTAGCCATGACTACATTTTCTTCTGGTTGTTGGGAGTTTATATTCACCCATACTCAATTATTATCGAGAATTTCTCTTCAGATCAGTTTTGAATTCACTGTGAATACAGTGCACTGGCCCCTATTATGTCACAAGTGCATCTGGAGCCATGCATGTGGGTCTAGGGGCAGGGCCAGGCTTCACGGAGCAGCGCCCAAGAGTGCTGTCGGAAGGCCAGAGCGGTCAGCTGTGTGCTGGGGTGGAGGCCAGGAACAGCACTGTGCTGTCGGGCGCACAGCATCTCTGGCCTCCCACCCGCCTCCCGGGCCTTCCTTAGCTCTGAGGCACCGTGTGCTGAATGTCTTGGAGTGGGGTCTGCCGACCAGGACAGGCCACCGAGATCCCCAGCTGCTGCATGGGCACGGAGAGCTGAGGCGCCACTGCTGCTCCACAGGGGGCCAGTGGGGCCCACGGCTGTGCAGGGCAGCTGCTGATGTGGCCCAGGAGCAGGGCGGGCAGGCAGCCTCGTTACCTTTATGCTTCTGCAGGGCCTTCTGGGTGGACTGCAGCACCGACTCGTGGAACTGGTGTGCAAACTCTTCTGCCACGAAGGGCTCCCATGGCTTGCTCTTCCCGTTGAGGCTGTGGGACAACGGCACAGGGACGTCCTTGGGCGCAGAGCCCCGGATGTAATGAAGCATGCTCAGGCTCTTCTTGCCCCCAGGGGCCTCGCTCAGCCGGGCCTTCTCACCGCTGGGAGGAGCTGGCTCCTGGGCTCTTGACAGTTCCTGGGGCCTGAGTGGTTCTAGTCTCCCACTCTCCACGGCTTTTGGGACATCGGACAAGGAGGCAGCAATGCCGACAGGCTTTTCGATCTCGAGACAAGCTGGCTGCGTGGCTGGTTCTTTGAGAGACAGAAAGTGAGGAAATGTTAAGGGTTGCAAATTGCTGGTTTTGGATTTTTTCTGAGACAGGGTCTTGCTTTGTGGTTCAGGCTAGCCTGGAACTCACCACAGAGCCCAGGCTGACTTGGAGCGCAGCGCTCCTCCGCCTCAGCCTGAGTGCTGGCGTCCCCTCACCGGCATGCAGTGCTACATTAACAGGTATGTGTCCGGCACTTGGACCCCAGCCTCTAACGGCTTATATATAACAAAGATCTACTACAAAGAAGCAAGACTTGGGGACATGAGCCACTGTGGTTAGGCTCTGAAGAAGTGGCACTTTTAGTAGCAAGTCCATCCTGGAATGGTGCCGAGGGGGCCTCTGAGAAGAGAGCAGACGGAAGAAGTGAGGTGCTCCCAGTCGCCAAGCACAAAGGTGGAGCTTAGCCCAACTGGCCGAGAAGCACACAAGGAACCAGCCAACGAGGGTGGCCAGAAGGAGTCCCTGCTTGCTTCAGTGGGCAGAGATGCAGTCAGACGTGGAAGCAGGTGCTGGCAAGGCCAGGAAGGAGGAAGAGCAAAGAGCTTGGACGGGAGAGGTGGGGTGGGCCGGCAGGCTGGGCCGCAGTGCGTCCTCCTGCCCGGGGCAACACTTCAGGGGCTCAGGTCCCCTTCCTCTGGCTCTGGAACAAGGCTCTGAGGGTCGACGGCTAAGACCACACAGACCAGGCAGCTCTGCGAAGCCGGCCCCCACCCAAGTTCTGCCAAGTCGCATCCCAAGGAGCGGCGTGACTGTGTCAACTCTAAGGGGGATGGAGAGAAACGTCGCCTTGCAGCAGGTCGGGCTCAGCATGAAGACGGCCTCGAGCGCCACCGCTGACCCTGGGCAGTGGTGGGTGGGGCTGCCCTTCCCTTACCGCTTGGAGAGATGGCAGGACTGTCCCTCGGAGCGTTTGTCAAGGAATCTGCCACCGCTGCTGCTGCCAGTGTTCTCTGCTTTGCTGCACGGAGCATGTCAACAAGTCTCTCGTTGTCTGTGAGAAAAGCATCCTGAGGTTAACGAGGCAGGGCACTGTCGCTGAGAGGGAGGGTGGGAGCCAGGCCCGCCTCGACGGCAGGTGCAAGCCCGTGAAGCTGAGAAGAATCAAAAATCGAGTGCCACGGGCCAGGCCGTGGCGACAGAAAAGCCTCTGAGCTAGAGTGGAGCCGGCCTCCGCCCAGCTTCCACCGCACGTGCCAGACGTGCTCCCAGCAGCTGTGTGCGCAGCGCGAAAGGCTCTGGGAGCAGTGGTGCCGCGGGCTTTCTGGCAACTTCTGAGGAAGTGTTCTCATTTAAAAGAAAAAAGGTGGCCCCCTGGAAGGAGAAGCCCCGGGACTCCAGGCCTCTGGAGTATGGCACCACGACTCCTGGCGCTTGAACACCACCCCAGGACGGTCCATGCCGTGGCTTCCTGCTCTGGCTGTGCTTCTTGCCAATTCTGAAACTGAAGAGGCCACACTGCCGATGGCTTCCTCTAGAAATTCAGTCAGGTGAAAACACAGTTCATTAAAAAAAAAAAAAGACAACACAAAACAAAAACCCCTAAGCACATTTCCAGGGATTTCTGCTGGCAAAAATCCTGCCAGTACCCCTTAAAGGGAAAGCAGGCTAAGGGGACACGCTGCTGCCACTCCCCAGTGATCATGCTGGAGCAGTCAAGGCCCGAGACACTCTTGCTTTCCTTCTTTCTTCCAGAGGATGCCAAGGGGACCGCGAGACACGCAGGGAGCGTGGCCAGGAACATCCGTCTCGGCACCAAGCCAGCACGTCAGGAAGACCACAGCTGTGGAAGCCGTGGGAGGGCCGGGCTACACCGTTGTTGCTGAGCGGCAGATCTTGGCCCAAGGACCCTCCCGTCACTGTCCATACCGCTCGGGGTGAGCAGACCAATCCGGGAGCATCTCAGCAGCAGCAAGCCATCTGCTCCGCATACTGGTTCTGCCTAACGGGGACAGGCCATCCCTGCCCTTCCCGCCCAGGCTTCCTGCCACACAACACAAAGCCCAGCAGGCTGTGTCAGGGACCACCCACAGTTAAGGCCTGCAGCATGCAGATGCAGAACCAGGGGAGGGGTGCACCTCCTCCTCTGCTCAGGCACCCGCCTTCTCAGGCGCAAGCTGGGCAAGTGACCAGGGCAGCTGTCAGCTCAGGACAGGCTGCACATGCAGAAGCACCAGAGTCTGCGGCTACCCAAGGCAAGACAAAAGCAAACAGGCTTCGAGTGCGTGTGGGGACAACAGCAAGGTGTGCCAGGTGCACTGTGGAGCACAAGCACACACCCGCCCAGAGCCCCACTTTCCACCGCAGGCTGGGTGAAGCCGTACCTTTCCTCTTCTCTGCACTGATGTGGGTCAGGTTGAAGATGGTCAGGAACTTCCTCTTCTCCTCAAAGTTGGGGCTGTTATTCATCTCGTCGGGGCTGTAGCGGGTGGACAGTGCCAGTCTCGGCGAAGGCATCTGTCTCTTGCTCTGAACTGCCGGCGGGGACGGGCTTCTCTCCTTCAGCATCCGCCGACGCTTCCTCCGCTTCTGGGCCACCAGCTCCTCCTTCTGCTGTTGGGTGGTCAAGCCAAAAAGTTGCAAAAACTCTAGCTTCTAGATTGGGAAAGAAAACAAATCAGTTTGAAACCACTGGCAGTGGAACCCTTTCACTGTCCTGAGGTCCCCCTCTGGGGCCCTTGTGGTCCATGCAACGCCTAACTTGGTGCCCAGTTGGATGGACCGCCATGTGAACAAGCCAACAGCCCAGCTCAGAGCATGCCACGAAGGGAGGAGGGCACAATACCTCAGAAGACGTGTCCAGCTTGAGGGGTGGCTGCTCAGCCACAAAGCGCAGGTGGGCCCGCACCTCCTCCTCGTCACTCTCGTCATAAGAGTCATCAAGGTCGTAGTAGTACCCTGAGGGCAGAGGCAGCTGCGGTCAGCCAGGCAGGGGCCTGGGTTCTCTGGCCCGTGTGCAGCTGGGACGTGGGGGGGAGCCTGCTGGCCTCTGGGCTGTGCCTGCTGACCTCTTGAAGAACCTTCAAAGTGGCTCCTTTCAACCCCGCAAGACCCCAGTGCTAAGCCCCAGGTCAGCAATGCGGAGCTTCCGGGGACCCTGCCAGTAGGGGACCCACCCACTGCCACAGCCAGAGCTGGCGCCCACAGCAGCTTCTTGCTGTCAGCACACGCACTCCCAGGAAGGCCTGGGCAGAGCCCCTGCCATGGGCTCAACACAGGCCCTCTTCCTTTATTAGATGAGTAGGGCAGAAAAATTCTAGTTAGGCTCTAAATCCAGCCTAAACCAGCACCCCAGGAAGATTCCACCGGCCCCTGCTCAAGTCAAAAAGAGCCAAGCTCAACACAAGACAGGACTAGGGTTCCGTGGAAGACACGAGATTGCCTGAGGTCGAGGTGTCGCCAGGCATTTGCTGACAAGGCCCTCTACCTCCAAATCAAAGCCTGGTGGGGGTACCGGGGAGCAGCCTTGCACCCAGCCCTGCCGTGAAGGTATCCGACGCCTGGCCAGGCCTAGGCAGTGTCAACTGTGCCCCTCACTCCCTGGCTACCTGCCTGCAGCTGACACCAGGGCCAAGGCCTGCCTTGCTGCCAACCTGCTCTCGTGTAAATGCTAGACTATTAATATTTAAAGCCACCTCGTTAGCCATCACTCATCACGTACTGATTGTGCGTGTCTGCAGCAAGCTCTACACGCAGGACCTGATTTGCCTTTGTGGGGTGAGGTGCTGGTAGCCCAACGTCTCTCTGCAGAGGCGCCAGGCTGCTACACGGAGGTCTGTGAACCTGCCACCTTGGGAGGGGACGGGTGGCAGCCAGCAGCAGGCTCCCTGGTCCTACTACGATCCACTTCCCAGAGGCCAGGGCCACCCACCAGGGACCAGACCTTTCTCCTGGGCCTCGCGCCGCCTGCGTTCCTCCAGGTCCAGCTTGCTGACTAGCCTCCGGCGCTGCTGCAGGACTTCGTCATAGACGTAGGCAGGATCAGGGCCCCGGGATGCTGGGTGCCGGTAGGGCGAGCCCGGCTTCAGGGGCACACTGAGCTCCCCAAAGGAGGCTGCCTGGGGCAGGGAGACCCGCTGCTGGCCTAGGAGTGTCTGTGTAGACTTCTCAAGCTCGGTGAGGAAGGGCCCAGGCCCATGGGGAAAGGCCGGGGACTCCAGGCTTCCTGCCTCCCGTGCAGGTGGCTGGTACTTGTCCAGGGGGGCAGTCTCCCGCTTCCGGGGCTCCTCTGCTTTCTCTGGGCAGTAGACGCGCTCCACCTTTACCATTGGGACAGCGGCCTGGCGACTGGGCTCAAATGCAGCCGGGTGGCTGTGCAGGGGGTGGCTCTCAGCCCGCCGCGTCTCCAGGGTGTTATCCATCAGAGACACCGGGTTCCAGAGGGCGGTGGGCATCGTGTGGTGCTGGGGCTTGGGAGAAATGAGAGGGGGTGGCCCACCGAAGTGCTGTGGGGCCTCTCGGCTGCCCTGTTCAAGCCGGTTTGGTCCTGGCCTGGGGAGAAAGATCGACCGTCGGTCACAGGGCAGAAGACCTGCTGGCACACAGGACCTCTCCAAGCTCCCTACTAGCCCTGGGCAGAATGCCCAGGAGAAAACGGCAAAGGTGCCACTCGCATATCCAGGCCGGGCCCTCAGCTGGCAGCAAGGAGTGCTTCTGCCCAGGGGACAGGGCGGCTCAGAACTGCGCTGCTGGTGATGCTCAACAGTCCCCTTGGGCCCAGGCCATACTTGCCTGCTCACCTAGACCCTGTGAGGACTGGTGCCCAGCCTGTGTTTATTGCTGAAGTGGCCCTGACCCCAGACCTTCCTCCAGGGTTCAGAGATCAGCAAGCCTGGCAGGCATGACTGCTCCTCCTGCTGTCCTCAGGGTAGGCAGCAGGCCAGAAGGGAGCTTCTGGGGTCTGGCCCAGCCTAGAAGCCAGCGCACAGGAAGACCCTCACAAGGGATGTGGCCTGTGGCCCTGCTGCCCCTCCAGCGACCCAGAGCAGCAGCTCTGCACAACGGTCTGGGCAGAGGGGCACGCAGGCTCTCACTCAGGGACTCCCTAAGAGGCTGTCACACTGTTCTATCTACCACATCATTTTCTCACTGCACTTTAAGCAAAAGGCAACTCCCAAAAGACTGGTTCTTTAGAGCTTTTTTTTTTTTTGAGGCAGCTTAACTGGACTTTGGGACCACACTGCTCAGCAACCTGGGGCACATGTGCAGGAAGGATGGAAAGGGGCTCGGCACATTGGGCCAGCGCCCATGGCCTGCTACAGTGGCTGGGTACCATGCCCACTGCCGTGAGGGCTGCCTCAAGTCCTGCACTCTCAGAGCCAAGAGTCCAGCTCCATAAGTGATAAAGCACAACAGGAACAGCCCCGGAAAGTGTCCTTAGGTGAACAGCCGAGGAAGAAAACACTCAAATACTCAGCACACCAGAGCCAAGCACTGCACATCTTTCCAGCGGAGGACCCTGTTTGAATGTCACATTCCTGAAGTACTCAGCTATGGCCGTCACCCAAGCCTAGGTGGCCACCTGACGCCTGAATGGTGTTCTGGGCAGACCAAGGAAGCCCAGAGTTTCACAGGAGACATGGTGGGGGCAGTGGTGAGGGGTCAGTGAGGCAGAGGGCAGCTCAGGAGCCACTGAAGTCAGGCCCTTGTGAGGCCTCAGACAGGTGCCCAAGCAGCAAAGGGACAGTGTGGCCCAGGGGAAGCTACTTTCGCAATGCAAGACCACTGGTAGGCCAGGGCCAGCCCCCCGCCCCCGACACAGCCGGGAAGCTCAGCTAACTCCTTCACAGGTGGGAGGTGGTGGCTCTCTGCGGCTGACAGCACAAGGACGAGGGCTGTGCAGCCCCTAGCAACCTCCCTGCCTACCGCTCCACACCTGGAAAACCTGAGGCCCAGCACAGGCCGTGTCCCCGCCTGGCCAGAGCAGAGCTGCAGAGGCCCAGCCTTCATGATCAAGGCAGAGGAGTGCTGCTCCCGGAGGCCACAAGGCGGGGTCAGGAGCCTGGGTGCCGCAGAAAGGCACAGGACTTCCGGGGAACTAGCCTACTCCAGGAGAAAGAGGCTGAGGAAGAGCGTAGCTTATTAGTGGTGCTCTTTTTTTGAGACAGGGGTTTTGCTATGTAATCCAGGCCAGCTTAAACTCTCAGCATTCCTCTGTCTCAGCCTCCCAAGTGCTGGAGCCATGGGTGTGCACCACCACACCTGACTTGTTTAAAATGTGATTGAAAGTGCTTCTCAAGCAGAAATGACTTTAAAAAATGGACTTGATTGTTACAGGGTCTCACTACACAGCTCAGATTCAGTGATACCCCCGTTTTCAGCCTCCCCAGCACTGGGATTACAGGTGTGTGTCACCATGCCCAGACTGTGGTCAGGGTGGGGGCTGGCACAGCATGTGGTGCCGGGATCACGGTCTCTGTGCTTGCCTAAGCATGCGCTTTAGTCCGCTGAGCAATCTTACTGGCCCCGTAAACAGAAATTAAAAGCAGTGCCTCACTTAAAAAACAAAAAACCCAGGCTAAAAACCAGAAGGAAGTGAACAGACAGGGATTATCAGTCACTAAGCCTCCTGGCCTGGCACCTCCGGCACCAGCCGCAGCCCACTGTGGTCTCTACCCAGCCCAGATTGGGGTCCTGCACTTGCAGATGGTTGCTCTCAGTCTCCTCACAGGACGCCCAGAGGACAACGGGAGATGTGTGGCAGTGACAGACATGCAGACACTCGGGGGTCCTGGCCCACAGGAAGAGTCCTGCCCCGGGGGCCCCACCTGCTGCTCTCTGGTCTGTGTTCCTCCACGGGCACTGGTGGCCGGCCCATGTCCAGGTGCTGCTCCAGCACCTGCTGCCTGAACTCCGACACCTGGGACTGCCGGTCTTCCTTCTCCTGCCGCAGGCGGCGCTGCCGGGCCAGCCACTTTTCCTCCTCGTTGGTGCGCTGCATCAGCAGGCTTGCAGCAGCACTGCTGGCTGGCAGAGAGAAGATGCCGTGGCTGGAGATGAGGCCGGGCACGGCGTGGTGTGGCGTGGGCACTGGGTGCAGGGGGTGCTGCACCGGCTTGGGTGTCTGCAGGCCCGCATCCTTCAGCTTCTCTGTGGGTAGAAATGCGGTCACTGCCAGAGCCGGGGCCTGCCCTTGACCCTCCTCAGCCAAGTGTCCACCGGCATGGCCGCCCTTCACTGGCTCTACCCTAGCTAGAAGCACGGGCGCGGGCCCATCTCTCCCCACACGGAGGCACAGTAAGCAAGTGCTCCGGCTGACAGGCCAGTGGCACCTGCCCAAAAGGGCAGGCTTCCGGTTCTGGAATCACAACAGCCAGGCTGGTGGTACACACGGCCTTTACGCAAAGCTAAAACAGATGACATGAGCCAGGGCGGCAAGGCATAGCTCGAGAGGCCGAGGCAGGAGTGTCCAAGGCTACACAGCCGGCTCAGCCGCCAGGTACCTGCTCGAGTCGGCGTCAGCTGCTCTGAGGGCTTGGCCCGCTCCTCCGTGGCGTGCCCACGCAGCCCGTGCAGCTCGGCCACGGGCAGGAAGGCAGGCTCCAGCGCCTTGGCAGCCAGCACCTCCTTCTCCCGGGCCCGCTGCTCCCGCTGGCGCTCCAGCTCCCGCTCGCGCTCCCGCTCGCGCTCCAGCTCCTTCTCGCGCTCGCGCTCCTTCTCCCGCTCGCGCTCCTTCTCGCGCTCACGGTCAGCCTCCCGCTCGCGTTCCCGCTCTCTCTCGCGCCGCAGCTCCTCATCCATCTGCAGCCTGCGAAGGGAATGTGAGGGCTCAGGTTCCCCATGGACACGGGACTGGGCCCCAGGGGTCCAACTCGTCTGCGTGGGCACGGGCACAGGCCAGGCTCTTCCCTTTCCACGTGATCACAACAGCTCTGAGGAGAGCCCCCAACACAACCTGGCCCAGCTGCCGGCCAGGTCCTGGCTGAGGTCTTGGGGCACACACCACCATGGCCCACCTCACAGGTAAACAGACTGAGGACCAGAGTGGCTGAGCCCAGCAGCCAGAGCCCCAAGCCAGGGTCCACCCACCAGCTAGCCAGCCCAGGACAAACTCACCTCTCTGCGCTGAGCCCCGACATTCGCTCCGAGTGCAGTGCAGCCAACGATGAGTGTGAGAGCTCCGGTGGGTAGCGGACACCAGAGAGGTGGAGGTGCATAGCCGAGGGGTGCAGCGGAGGCAAGGATCCAGGGGTGGGGATGGGGTAGAACGGAGACCTCAGGGCGGACAGACAGTAGGACTCATCCATCCTGTATGAGAGGACGGGGCTGGTGGGCGCCAAAGTCACACACAGAGAGCGTAAGATAGCCCAGTGCTGTGGGCTCCTGGTTCCACCCCAGCCCCTACTGTCGCCCAGGCCCCTAACAGTTTGGGGCGCTGAAGCCCTGTCCACCACCTCCCTTCCTCCAGCCAAGCTGTGCAGAGGCGCTCTCGGGGCTGTCCACCTGGGTCCCAGTACAAGGAGCCCTGAACCAGGACAGAGGCGGCAGGGGCTGGGGCAGCCCACTGTCCTTGGGTCTGGGCAACTCCTGAGAATCAACCCCAGCAGTCTCAAGGGGAGGAGCGGCGCTCACCTGAAGGCTGGGTGTGGGAAGGGGTGCGGGGCCAGGTAGCTGGGGTGGTAGTAGGCTGCGGCGGTGGCCGGGTCCAGGCCAAGGGGGGGAAGGGAGGACACACGCAGGTCCTCAGCAGTGTGGTAGGGCCGGAAGCTTCTCAGGTAGTCCTCAGTCACCGTGCTCGGAGGCACCACGTGGTGCACAGGCCGCTGGAGGCTGCAGGGCAGGAAAGCAGGTGGGCAAGGTGAAACGTGAGCAGAGAGCCTGTCCTGGCCAGCAGACGGGGTCTATCCCGCACTCCCCTAGAACTGCTGGGAGGCCCCCCTGTGGTCTCCTGCAGGCACAGGTCCTTTCTCGTAACAAGACACGGCTCTCTGGGAGGCCCAGGACTGCAGACCAAGGTGGCTACCACCCTCGGCCAGCCTGGCCCCCAGAACCCAAGCACAGATGGGTTCAGGAGGGGTGTGCAGCGGGGCAGGCGAGTGCCTTGGGGCAGAGCCGGGCCAGCAGAGGCACTTACTTGAGTGGTGGGAAGCGCGAATCTTGCATGACTGAGCTGGGGGACAGGCCAAAGGGGTACGGGGTGCTGAGCAGGTGCGAGGGGACAGCCGGGCCACCTGCCTTCTCCTGTGCCAGTGGTGGCTCCACGAGGAGGCGCTCCCGACCACCACTGCCGCTGCCCCGAACACTGGCATCCTGCAGGAGGACAAGCACAGGGGTCAGGCCCCACGCTCAAAGATGAGCCAGGGCTCCTGAGTCTCAGGAGGGCCCCCCTTGCAGAAGGAGAAATGTCCTCTGGGGAAGGCTCTACTCCTCAAGCACCGAACACAGGGTAGCAGGAGTAGGAAGAGGATGGACACAGCCTCCACCAGTCAGGTCTGGACTTGAGGCCATGTGAGGTCTCCTCCTGCATACCTCAAAGACCTCCCCAAGGCAGAGGTGACCAGGAGCGCCCCTGGAACTGAGGGGTCACTGAGGTACATGTGCGCAAGATGACACATGCAGCAGGGATGCCTGGCCTCTTCCGACAGCCACAGCATGGACAGGGTCACGTCATACCCACACCAGGGCCCAGAAGCCCTCAGCTCTACCACAGGCACGGTGCAGCTCCGCCACCCTGAGCCATGAGCCCAAACACCCAGGCTGGCAGTACACTCCGAGCCGGCAGGAAAGCACCTGCCATGGGGTGGGCTCCAGGGAGCAACAAGACCCTGCCAGCCCAGGGTGGGTCATGAAGGCACTACCATGGCCCCTCCTGGCCAGTGTCCCGTGGTCATGGAGGTGCAGTGCCGCCACGTGCTCCCCAATACCCTTGTGCTCAGAAGCCAGCCAGCAGCAGCTAAGCGAAGCAGACAGGCTGCTGACAGGACTCTTAATGAGGAGTGGCACCTGCTCCCTTCCTTCATGCACAGTGGAGTCCTCTCAGATTCACCACCTCTGACCTACCCTTCCTCAAGGGACGATCACGTGGCATCTCACAGGAGGGACACACAAGTGCCCACCAAGCCCTAGTCTCAGGGTCTTCCAGTTGTAGTGATGGAAGCAGGGTGGACTCTGGCTTACTCTTAAAGAGACAGGGTCCTGTCTTGTTCCAGAGCCCCCAGGCAGGCCCATAACTGCTCCAAGCCTCAGTTTCCCCACCTGTCAACACATCAGTGGCCACCCCGGCTCACTGTGCAGTAAGGGCAGGCATGGGCTTGGACAGGGGCCTTGCACACAGGGCCCCCGGCTCCCTCCCTCCCAAGTCTCCTCTGGCTCTCCACTTATGCCACCCTCAGGGCTGCTCTGGCGGGGCTGGCCGGATTCTCCTGCACATACCTTACCCTGCCCAGCATAGGACCAGGCTGGCACAGAGCAAGGAAAGACACCGCCCACCTGGGCTAAGCTGAAGTGGAGTGGCACACCACACTCTCTGGGATGGGGACATGGGTCGGGCCCCAGCAAGACAGTCCCACAGGCAGCAGGGTCAGGGCAAGAGGGAGACGGCTACGCCCCACCTCCTGGGGGCCAGCAAGTCCTCAGGGGACAGAGCTCTATGCCAGGAAGAGCACTGGCACAGGCTCCTAGGACATGGGCCTGTCACCTGTTCTGGACACCAGAACTACATAGCTCCAGGTCACCCTGCCCAGGAGGCACCCGCTGAGCACATCCTCAGCCGAGCTGTCCCCAGCAGCCCCCTCCCCCCTGCCAGGGACAAAGGCCTACTTGAAGACAGCTGGGCCAGATGGCACCTTCCTGGCCTGGCTGAGGACAGTCGGGAGGGGCGGGGGAGCGGTCGGCGGGCAGGGCAGTGGGCTCTGCAGCACAGACCCACATGCCTGGCCTTCATCAGGCTGAAACCCGGCCAAGCTCCACTGGGCACCTGGGAACTAGGTCAGCAGGGAGGGCAGGAGGGCGTGGGGGCCAGGAGCACCCCACGGGGCCGGGTGCAGGAGGCCACAGAGCCCCAGGCACACCATAGTGGGGGCGGCTGGGTCTCACAGCCGCCCTGGCAGACAGGCGCGTCAGGGCGCATCTGCGGGCAGCTTGTTATTTCTGAGCAGCGGCTGCAGGAGCAGCTGCGGCGATGAAAGGAGGGAGGAGGAGGGGCGGGCGGAGGAAAATCCGTCATCCTCTGGTGATTAGAGAGAGGTCTCTGCAGTCAGACAGGCGGGACATGCCCTGTTAGCTTCCAAATAGACGATTTTTCATTTCATCTCTCCTCCATGCTCCCACCGCCGGGAGACACTGTGACCCCAGAAAGAGCTCGAAGCCACTGGCCCCCGACTCCCTGCCCGCATCTGCAGCCCCAGGAGGCCCCGTGACTCAGCCACCGAGGGCAGGCTCCCCTCCCCACAAGGATTAATTCTCCTCAGAGCCTCTCTCCCTGCACTCACGCTGACGAGCCCACATCTGCTGTCCCTGCTGCCCTCCCCGAGGCAGGAGCTCATTATCTGATGCAGGGCCAGCCTTGGCGGCCCCTCCTGCAGCGTCACCCTGTGACAGGAGGGACCCTCAGACAAGAGTAACAGGCTCAGGGGAGGCGGTGCATGGGCACCAGCGCCAGAGCCTCCCAGGGACAGGGAGCACTCGGGTGTCCAGCCAAGGCAAGAAGGGACAGGAAGTATCCTGCAGGCTGCTCAGGGTGGGGCGGAGCCAGCCTGTGGCAGCTATGCCAGGTGATCCGGGTCCCCCAGGTTGGAGCTGACCCTTAGGGGAGGAAGAGCCTGGTGACAATGCCCTTAAGCCAGGAGTAGCCAGCTGTACCCTGTTCCAGTCCCCTGGTGATACCATGCCAGACCCGCCCTGTCCCTCCTCCACACTGCATACAGGGCAGGGCACAGCAAGACACAGCGCTCCCAGGGTAAGCACGGCACTTCAGCCACAGGAGATGGCAGTGGAAGATACGTTAGGACCCCAGTGGGGTCCAGGAAGCCAGGGGTCTCAGCTGGGTACCTTGGGCACCCTCGCCCTGGGTGAATCCTGCAGGCGGGGGTAATGTGCTGGGAACTGACAGTGCGGCCCAAGTGCCCGCCCTACCTGGCAGGGTGTGGAGGGCTGCTTGCCTCCCTGCTGCCCCCGACACTGCCTTTGTGGATTAATTAGTATCTGCAAGTAGTGCTGTGCCTTCAGGGACTCAGCAGAAGCTCCTGGCAGAACCCAGGCTGACAGGGGCTCTTAACGAGCACACAGGGAGGGGTGAGAGTCCCATGGGCAAGGAGGGCTGGTGACCAGAGCAGTGGCCACCCACCACACATGGGGAGCCTGCGAGAAGCACACACTAAAACACGAGGCTGCTGCGGCCTGCATGGTTGACCCCTCATCCAGGTGGCAGGAGCAGCAAGACGTGGTGTCACATATGATACACGCAGTATGGGGAGGCCTACGAGGGTCACAGGCTGCACTGTGACTCGGGGTTCACACTTGCTGACAGGCTCTCAGGGGGTGACTAGGGAAACACAGCACTAGGGTTGACCCACTCTGTCCAGGCTCAAGAGATCAGAGTACAGGACACTTGGGACACCATAGGGGGACACGAGGAAGGTGCATTTATAAGCAGGACAGAGACTGGGGTACCAGCCCTGTCCACACCATGGTGGGTGCCCCTCTGGGGGAATCTACCCCGCAAGCCACCCTGCCTGTGGCGTGACTCTGAGCCCAGTCAAGTATCCTGTCCTGCAGCTGCCCCACCTCCAGCCACTCACCTGGCGGCTCTCACTCCTCCACACACCGTTGACAGTTTTGGTGGGGGCGATGGTAACCACAGGTGGTGTGCTGGGGACACTGTGGCCCCCAGGGGGCACGATGATGGGGCCCATGGGCACGCGCTTTGGCGTGCTGGCGGGGGAGCTGTGGTTGGTGGCTGGAGAGGACACAGGCGATGACTCACTGCTCAGCGAGGACCCTGCAGAGAGAGCACAGCAGGTGGCATGTGAAGCATAGGCCCGGTACACAGCAGCCAAGCAGAGCTGGACTTCCACCTCAGCCACAGTGCCTGTGGGCAGGCGGGAGACCAAGATGCACCCCTCAGGCCTGTCTGCCTATGTAACGGAGGTGGGCTTGGCCCCCCGTCCCTGGGCCCCAGGCCCAGCTCCCAGAACACCCAAGTATGAGACGATCCACTGCCGCCCTAGCTGGAGGATGGAAGCCCCAGGCAGCACAGCACGCTGCTGCCACCCACTGCCTGAGCCCTGTAGGGCGTGGTGGGAACTGCCCCCAGGTGCATAGGAAGGCCCCACGAGTCCTGGTGTGGGCAGAAGGCCAAAGCACACCTGCCCAGGGAGGACCTGGGAGC